ACCAAGAGATAAACAACCTGCTTTTCAACCTGCTTTTTCTCTTGCTATCTGATGTGCAAAAGGGAAGGGCAAATTCAGCCCAGAACTGACAGTGACTTCACAGCCATGAAATTCCTTACCTTATGAGTTACAAGCTATTTTTTCTACAGGTATGTTTAGTCCCAAATCTAAGACTTTTCCATTTAGATGCTAACTTTCTCTGTGTGATCTGTCCTGGGGCTCTTATATTCTACTTGAGAGTTTTTATTTTAATTTATTTATTTATTTTGATTTATTTTGATTTGTCAATCGCTTACAATAGGTATAAGTATATACATAGTTATGAATACATGAAATGGTAATATACAGTATAAGAAAAAGAAAAAATAGGACAGGGACAGTAGGCATGTTGGTGCACTTATGCACACCCCCTACAGACCTCTTGGGAAAGGGGTGAGGTCAATAGTAGACAGTCTAAGGTTAAAGTTTTGGGGGTTTGGGGAAGAAACCACAGAGTCAGGTAGAGTATTCCAGACATTGACCACTCTATTGCTGAAGTCGTATTTCCTGCAATCAAGTTTGGTGCAATTAACCTTGAGTTTGTATCTATTCTTTGCTCTTGTGTTGTTATGGTTGAAGCTGAAGTATTCATTGACAGGCAAGTCATTGCAATGTATGATTTTATATATCATACTTAGATCAGACCAAAGATGGCGTAATTCAAGGTTTTCTAGGTCTAGAATTTCAACTCTGGTGGCATAAGGTATCCTACGAGTAGAGGAGCGGAGAACTCTTCTTGTGAAATATTTCTGGACTTTCTCAACTGTGCTAATATCAGGTACGTAATGTGGGTTCCAGACTGATGAGGTGTATTCAAGTATTGGCCTAGCAAATGTTTTGTATGCTCTATTTAGTAGTATGATATTACCAGAGAAAAAGCTACGTAGGATTAGGTTAACAATTCTTAATGCCTTTTTGGCTATGTAGTTACAGTGGGCTCTAGCACTTAGATCATTAGAGATGAGTATTCCAAGGTCCTTTACGGAGCTTGGATCATCAACAAGGTCTTGGCTATTCAGCTTGTATTTTATTTTCTGATTTTTTTTGCCAATATGTAAGACAGAGCATTTATTTGTTGAGATTTGAAGCTGCCATTTGTTTGACCATTCTGATACATAGTCAAGATCTTTTTGAAGGGTAGCAGTATTGTCTGTGGTATTGAACAGCTTTACATCATTAGCGAAGAGAACACACTTGCTCTTAATATGATCACAGAGGTCATTTATATAGAGTGTGAAGAGACTTGGTCTTAGAACACTACCTTGGGGGACACCACTGTTGACAGGTACAGAATTTGATAGGACACTCCCAATTTTCTCCATTTGTTGTCTGTTTGATAGGAATACTTCTATCCAGTTATGCAGGTGTCCAGAGATACCATAAAATTTTAGTTTTAGGAGTAGTTTGTTGTGTACCAATGAACCAAAGGCTTTACAGAAGTCTATGTAGATTGCATCTATTGTTTTGCCCTGGTCGAGTTGTGTAGTCCGTATGTTTTTACAGTGTAAGAGTTACAGATTACAGGATAATTTTTTTCTGAAACCAAATTGTTTATTAGAGAGTAGGTTGTTTGTCTCTAAGTGGAGGATAATGGATTGGTTAATAATTGATTCCATAACTTTACATGTGACGTAGCATAAGGAGATTGGTCTGTAATTTTCAACTAGGCTGGGGTCTCCCTTTTTGAAGATGGGGATGACCATGGCTTGTGACCATAGGTTAGGCAAGGAGCTGGTCCTGAAAGATTTTTCAAAGATTATGCTTGGAGGTTCTGCTATGGCAGTGGATAGCTTTTTTAAGAAGTAGGCACATATTCCGTCCAGTCCAATAGATAGAGATGGTTTTAGATTGCGTAGTGCTTTTTTCAACATTGTCTTCTGTAAAATCGATATGTATTGTAGTTTTCTGTAGTTCGGCTAGGAAATACTGGCATGATCCATTGCTGTTTACAGATACTGAGCCAAATAATGTGTTAAAGATGTTGGCTTTAATGGTATCGTCATTGCAGTCTTTACCATTAGGTCCTATCAGGGGTGGGATGGACCTTGAGTCTTTTAGTTTGTTGTTTACAAAATTGTAAAAAGCGTGGGTGGAATTGGTACGTAGGTTTTCCTCTTGTTTAATGTGATAATTGGTGCATTCAGTCTTTATCTGGTGGCATAGATTTTTGTATCAACTTTTGAAGTTGGCAACGTGACCAGGTTTGTTTTTCCGCCAGAGTGATCTCTTTTTGTATTGAAGTTTTCTTCTTGTTATGGGTAATCTATTTTTTTGTTTTGTTTTGGGCGTTGTTATTGGTACATATAGTTTGATGACTCTTTTGACTTCAAGTAAAAATATGTTGTAATGGTCTGCAACAGTATTGTATCCAGTGAATAGAGATTGTCAATCAAGGGATGAGAGATCATTGTCTATAAGATTTTTTCAAAAGCATTGACTATAATATACAGTAAGTAGTCTTTGACTTACAACCAGTCACTTAGTAATGTTCACTTATAACCTACCTGAAAAAGGGAACTTACAACCTGGATTCTAAGTTTGGATAGTTGGGGTCCCCCCTGGAATCACAACTGTGTTTTATGAAGCTGTTTTACACAGCGTCCTGCAGTCGAGTAACTATTTTACAACAGTTTTGCACCAAAACGGGACTTCCGGATTTTGGCAAACCACGCTCCTAGTGAACAGTAGGTTTGCATTTATGACCAATGTTCATTTGCTTAACTGCTGCAAAATGTCATAAAATTGGGTTGGTCACATGACTGCAGTAGTGGAATTCAGCCAGTTCGTACCACTTCAGGAGAACAGATTGTTAAGTTTCTGAGCAGTTTGGTGAACTAGTTGTTGGAAGAAATTATTAGGGCAGAGAACCGGTTGTTAAATTATTTGAATCCCACCACTGCATGACTGATCCAATTTATGACCATTATGACTGCAGACAGGCTCTGTCATGCCCCTGGTGGAGACTGATTCTGAGGGAGAGGAGGAACAGCCAACAAGGAGTAGAAGTATGGCTCTGGAGGTTGTGGAAGAAGCTGGGGAAGGGCAGAGCCAGCTGAGCAGTCAGAGGAGGACTAAGGCCCATCCCCTCTCCATCCTAGGACATGCAGGGAGGAGAGAATGAGGGAGAGATACTTGGGAGGAGACCTTGATCCTCTTCATGGGCTGCAGCTGTGACAACTGAATAAGAGAATGAACATGCGTACAGGCGAGCGCTGGAAACAAAGGTTGGAAATATCTCTAGTTTATGGTTCCTCTCTTGAATTTGGTGTCCTTCCCAGTGTGGGTTATCTGTGGATGTCCTCCAGCCCTTATCTTGCCTGATTTGTGTTGCTTTTTTCCTTCTTCATGTAACTGTTTGTATGGGAGTTTTTTGTCTTCGGTCAAGAATATTTGGAGCTTGGAAGCAAAGTGAAGGGGCTTCACCTGTTTTCTGTGACTGTGTTTGTTTTGTATCCCATCCTGGGTCATCACAGGCTCCATTACAGTTGTAACTCAAAGGCTACCTGTAGCTAGAGGCTGGACAAAAGGCGGAGGAGTGAGGAAATCAGACGTTTCTAACATCAAGCCTGACAAGTCCCACCTCCACTGAGAACAAACTTGCTGCGTGGTTGCATCACGCTTTCCATCAGTTTTATTGAGAAAGAGGTGTAGTCAACTTGCTTAAGGAATGCACTGGCGTAAATTTGGTTCCATACGGTAGCTGTATGTTCTCTTTCACATTCCAACAATGTATGTTCTTTCTTCATTTACTTCAAAATCAGAAAAAAAGGACATTGTTAGCACCCTGCATGCTGTTTTACCAGGAAATATCAGTTAAGGATTGGCAAGTTTCATATTGGAGGAGGAGGAGGACCATACTAGTCTATGGCAGCCAAAAACCAGGAACATTCCAGTATCAACTTTTCATATGAAATAATTTAATGAAAAGGGTAAAGGTTCTGGTGTATTGTCTATGGATATTCTCAGTTATCCAGGTCATGGTTGCCCCAAAGGTGCTTTTTCAAGAGGAAACTGGACTTTCTTTGTTTTTCTTTGAAGACGTTTTGCTTCATTTGCACTACTCAGATGACACCAAGGACACCACGAAGCCTCCAAGTGGCCTCAATGACTTTCTAAAAGAATACAAATAACCAGCTGTCTCCAAGGAGTATAAACCCTTCCCCGCCATCCGCTCAGAGCTGAAGAAGCTTCTTGGATGAAAAGTGCAATGTTTTTAAAGAAAAGCAAGAAAGCCCAGTTGCCTCTTGGAAAAAAACACCTTTGGGACATTTGGGTATATTAAGTCGTTTCTCCGATTCTTCTTTGAGTTACTAAATATGGCAACTCTTAAAATTCTTTAGGAGGCTGATTTTTAAAAAGTTAAGTGTTCGTGGATTTAAAAATTAATGGGATTATATAGAAATTAACAGGAAGGAACGCACAATTCATGTTGTTTTCTTGCTTTATGATCCCACTAAATTTTAAAGTGAGGAAGGGATGTTCTATCCCTTTATTAATCCAAACATTAGTGTTTTCTGCTTCCTGGAAATCGCTTCAAAAATTCTTCCTCTTTTGTTTTTTTAAATCTTCATATTTTAAAAATACTGCAAAAACTGCTTAATAGTGATAATCGTTTCACTAAATACACAAAAGATGAATTTTCAAATTGTGTGCAGCAGTTGACAACTAGTCATTTAGTGATCGTTCAAAGTTAGAATGGCACTCAAAAAAGTGATTTATAACAGTTCCTCTCACGACTGTCAAAGCCACCTCATGATCATGTGATCAAAATTTTGGCACTTGGCAACCAACTAATGTATTTACAATGGTTGCGGCATCCTGGGGTCACCAATTCTGACCTTTCCAGCTGTCTTCCGACAAGCAAAGTTAGTGAGGGAACTCAGATTTGCTTAATGGCCACATGATTGGCTTAAGAACTATGGCAAAAAAGGTCGTAACATTGGGTGCGACTCACTTAACAACCACCTTGCTTAGCAACCAAAATTCTTGTCTCAGTTGTGGTTGTAATTCGAGGACTACCTGTATGTGCATGTGTTGTATGTGCATCTATGTATATAGAGAGTATTTAAACTACTGGCTTCTGATTAGGATGACAATTATGAACCAGAAAACTTGGCAGCTTTTCCCACCACAGAAGTGTTGGAAGACAAGGCACATGAGATGGGCTGCTAAACATACGCCAGAGGGCGCTGTCTCTCGCCTAGGCAGCTGCCAGCCCCAAATTGTCCCATTTTTCTCAGTCTTGCTGAACCAGATGTTGTGTTCTCTGTCTTCCGAGAGCATCTTCCTCTGTTTTCCCTTTTATAAATAATCTGCAGCACCAAAATAAAAATTGGGGGAAGACAAAACAAGAAGGTCAGAAGTGAGAGGACATCAAAGAAGAAAGATACAGTGTGGGATATGCAGGTGAGGATGTATCTGCCTTAGAAACTTAAAAAGCAGTTTTGGATCTGTTGAACTGGCAGCATTTCTCTCACAAAGGCTCCTGAGGCTTAGTTTGGTGACAGCGCTTAGAATTCACTCAAACAGGGAATTGCTGAACTACACCAAGTGGCTTCCCGGACTGTAGAATTGCTCGTTTGAGCTGTTGGGACTTATACTTTAGCACCCTCTGGAAAGCAATAGGCCTCCAAACTTTCCTCTTCAGAATTCCCAAACCTTTGGAAAGAATTGAAGATTTGGCCTGAGTGACACACACCACAGGATGAGGTAGGGACACGGGTGTCCACGCAGGACAAAAAAGTCAAGATTGTGGCCACCACCTCTCAACCGGAGCCCCGTTCCTTTTTTAGCTGTGTTGCAATGCACCTAAGCAATAGCACTAGGTTTATATACTGCTCCACAGTACTTTACGGTATACTCTGGGTGGCTTGTAATGTCAGCATATTGTCCCCAACAATTCTGGCTCCTCAATATACTGACTGCAGAAGGATGGAAGGCTGAGCCAACCTTGAGCCGGTTAGGATTGAACTCCTGGTAGTGGGCAGAGTTTGCCTGAAATGCTGCATTCTAACCCCTCGCCAATGCAGCTCATAGAAAAGGGTGGAGCTTTCATCCTGTGGTCATGTCTACCATCGTAATTTTTTTGACCCTCCCTGCGGACACCTTATGTGGGTGAAAGAATTGACTACGTCAGAATATAGTGAAAGATATTGTCAAATTAAGACTCTCCCCCCCCACACGCACTCCACCACACACATGCACACAGCAGGGCAGAAGCTCATAGGTGCAAGAAAAAAAACTCTGTACCCAGCTTTTCCTCAGATGTTTTCCAATTGCATGGAGTCTGACATATAAAGCAGCCTCAAAAATGCGATTCCTTGCCATAAATTCTGCAAAGGGACAGGACGTCGTATCCTACTGTGATTCATTCCTTCTTGTCTTGCCAGATGTGTAGACAAGGTTGGCTAGAAAGACAAGAGTGACTGTTCAATACTCTGGGGCAGTGGTCACCAACCAGTGGGCCAGTGACCACTGGTGGGCCGCGAGAAAATTTTGGTAGTCCGCAGAGAAATGTCACCCCCAAAGCAATTAATCCAGGCTGTGTGGGAACACACTGCTTGCGTTGTTTGCATTGTGAACAACATGAGATAGTGAGGGGGGGGGGTGGAAGGGCAGAGAGGGGAAGTTGCTCCACTCGCCCCACGTGCCTGGCCTGGCTACTGGGCTGCTTCTTTCTGCTTCTTCTACTTCTGTCTGCACACAAAGTAAGCATCAAAAGTCTTTCTTTTTCTCCCCCAAACTCTGCCAGAAATGAGTCTTTGGGACTCTGCAAGGCATCCTGCTCTAAGAGGCTGTGCCGGTGTGACAAGTCTCACAAAGACTCATTTCTGGTAGAGTTTGGGGGAGAGAAAGAAAGCCCTCCGCTGCTTCTGCTGTTTTCCTTGCATGAAGCCAAAAGTCTCTCCCCTACCCCAAGAACAGAGCTGGAGAAGGGTATCCTGCGATCTCAAATAAAGAATGATCGATCGGTAGGAAAACAGGGTGGGGAATTTTCCCAGGGTCTCTGCTGCGTTCCGCAGAACCCTGGGAAAATGTCAGCAAGCTGCCGTCATCAAAATTCATATTAGTGGTCTGCAGAATTTAAAATTATGAGTTTGGTGGTTCCTGAGGTTCAAAAGGTTGGCGACCCCTGCTCCGGGGTATGGATAGCTTATTAGCAGCTGCTAATATTCCCCCTCCCAACCTGCCAAGGCTTACCAGCGTCATGGATACTGCAGCTGCCAACTTGCTCTTTCTCTTCCAGCCAAGCTGGTACCCGGCGTGGTTCTAGTCCTGGTGGAAGACGGAGAGTTTGATGCTGTCCCACAACGATGCAGAAGGCAGGAAGAAGGAAAAGGGTCGAGCCCCTTTGCTGGGCAGCCCTGGAGCAACCTCCTTCACTGATGCACGCTCCCCATTTCCTCCTGCTTCTCCCTTTCCAGCTTCATTCTGGGTGGCCCAGCGAAAACAGGGCAGGGGAAGAGAGAGTGAAGCTCAGTCAACAGGGAAGAAGGAAGAAGCAAAACCAGAAAGGATTGGGGAGGGCAGCTAGAAGGAAGACATGGAGCAGGAATAGAGAAAAGAAGCCGGAAGGGGGAAAAATCAATTGATGAGAGAAACCTGGGCTGTGTCTGGAGCAGGGGCCACGTAGGCTGGATGGGGAAAACCCTGGGATGAGAAGGGGAGAGTCCAAGGCAGCTCCAAACCAGGGAGGGGAAGAGGGGAGGGCGAGGGAGGGAAGGCAGGTAAGGGAGGGAGAGGGCTGGGAGATGAAAAGGAGGTGGGGAAGACGGAGGTGGGCAGAGGAATGGCTGGCTTGTGCGGGTTGGGGGCAAGCAATGGGGAAGGGACTGGACCAGCTGAGTCCTTCTGGCCGCCGTGGGTGCGCCGGTGACGGTTCAGGTGAGAGCTGCGGCTGAAGCATTTGCTGCAGAGGCTGCACTTGTAGGGCTTCTCCCCCGTGTGGGTGCGCTGGTGGATGGTCAGCTCCGAGCGCTGGACGAAGGCCTTGCCACACTCCCCGCAGGCGTAGGGCTTCTCCCCCAGATGGGTGCGCTGGTGAGTCAGCAAGTTGGAACTGACACTGAAGCACTTGCCACAGGTGTCGCAGCGGTACGGCTTCTCCCCGGTGTGCATGCGCTGGTGGATGGTCAGGTCTGACTTCTGGATGAAGCCCTTGCCACACTCCCCGCACGAGAACGGCTTCTCCCCGGTGTGGATGCGCTGGTGCTTCATCAGCGCCGAGCGCTGGGCAAAGGCTTTCCCACAACCCTCACACTTGTAGGGCTTCTCTACAAGACCCGGAGGCTGAACGGGAAGCTTGCTCAGGCTCTTCCCACAGTCCAAGCAATGGCCGCCGCGAGTGAGACGCCCTTTGCCACCGTACAGCTGGTATTTCAGGGTCTGCTTGGCCCCACTGCTGAGGAGGAACGTTTTCACATGTTCGGGGCAGCAGTGGGCAGCTGCAGCCACCGCCAGGGCTTGGTGGACTCTCTGGTGCCGGTCGAGATGGGAACTCACAGAAAACCCCCGGCCACACTGGGCACAGGTATACGGGCGTTCCCCGGTGTGCACCCGCTGGTGGCGCTCCAGGTCGGAACGCTGGATGAACCTCTTGCCACAGTCGGCACAGGGGAACGGGCGCTCCCCTGTGTGAATGCGCTGGTGCTGCGCCAGGTTGGAGCTGCGGCTGAACCGCTTCCCACAGGCACTGCAGGGGTACGGGCGCTCCCCTGAATGGGTCTTACGGTGCTTAGCGAGAGCAGAGCGTTGCCCAAAACATTTCCCACAGTCGGGACAGTAGTGGGTAGTGGGGACCAGAGAGGTGGCCGAAGGCTGCTCCTGAGGGTTGTCTTGGTGGGTGCGCCTGTGCCGGTCGAGGTGGGAGCTGATGGAGAAGCATTTCCCACAGTCCTGGCAGACGTAAGGCCGCTCCCCTGTGTGCACCCGCTGATGACGCTCCAGATCCGATTTCTGGGTGAAGGCCTTGCCGCAGGCTGCGCAGGGAAAGGGACGTTCCCTTGTGTGCACCCGCTGGTGCTGCACCAGGTTGGAGCTGCGGTTGAATCTTTTGCCACAAGCCACACACAGGTAGGGCTTCTCCCCCGTGTGGATCTTCTGGTGTTTAGCCAGGATGGAGTGTTGCCGGAAGCAACGTCCACACTCGGTGCATTGGTGTGGTCTCTCTGGTGTGGGCATACTGTGGCCTCGACCACTGCCACTCATGCTTTTCTGCCCACACTCCCCACACACCCCAGACTTTTCCAGGTGCCTTTGACTGTTGGGATTTTTCCCTTCCTGCTGATGCACCGCGGAGTTTTGAGGAGGCTGTTGGCCCTTTAGGCTCTGCAGGCACCAACTGCTGCTTGTACAAGCCTCATCTGGGCTGATAGATCTCCTTGAAGGTGGTGCCTCCTTCTGCACATGGTCTTGTTCTGGCTGCAACTCTTCTTCATTCTCCCCAGCAGCTGGAATAGAAATTGGAAGATAAGAAGCAGCAAGACCAACTCAAAATGATTAATTTTCTCAAAGTTATGTCCTTTGGGGCTTTGGGAATGGCTCTCCTACCAGCTCCATCATCCACAGATAACAAAAGAGGGCTGCAATAATCCAGATCTCCACTAGGCACAAACAAGGATAATTTTCTGGGTCTCTTTGCTACCATCAAGTGGCTTTTTTTGTTCAGCCCAGAGATGGTAGCCCTGCTCCAGTCCAGGGTGACGCGATGACAGTGGTTAAGATGCTGGGCTTGTCGTCTGGAAAGCTGACAGCCCAGGTTTGAGACCCAAGCATTGTGTAGTGGGGTGAGCTCCCATTCCTCACCCTTAGCTCCTGTGAATCTAGCAATTCAAAAGCATGCAAACACGAAACAGGTACCACTTTGGTGGGAAAGTAACAGCACTCTGTAACGTTATGCTGGCCACATGACCACAGAAACATCTACAGACAGCATTGGCTTAACGGCCCTTGAAATAGAGATGACCACCCTCCCCTATAGTCAGCTACAACTAGCAGAGTAAAACCCACATCGGAACTTCTTTACCTACTCCACTTCATATAGCCAAGTCCAATGGATGAAAGGCATTCCAGTGAAACCCAACACACCATGATCAGTCCCTTCTTCAAACCCTACTCATTGCTCTGGTCCCTTAGCTCATCTGTTCCTCCAGAAATAACTAGTTCTGCCCTGATGGCACATTAGGAGGAAGTTCTCAGATCTGACAACGTTCTCTATCATCAGACTGGAGGATACAGCATAGTCTTCTTCACACTGGGGTTATTCCAAAATTCACAGCTCAAGCTACAAGGGGGGAAAAAACCAAGTCTTTTACTTTCTCACACACATTTATACATACCAATTTCAGGATTTCTTTCAAAAATAGAAAAGCTTGCTGCTGTAAAACTAAACTGAAACTCCTCTCCTCTGCTTGTGTTTTGCATTTGGAACAGATCTCTTTTCAGGTGGGGAGGGGGAGCAGAACTCCTTAGCATCAGAGCGTGTTAATAATAATATATGAAATACTAATGCTCTGATGGTCATTTGGAAAAACCCTTTCTTAGTGAGCACCTAGAAGCCAAAGGGAATAGAGGTGCCAAATTTCAAGTTTGTAGGCTTTATGGTTCTGGAGATTTTGTGATGATACATGAGTGGTATTTCGCTTTTGTATGAGTAGCTAATCCATCCTCCACACAATTAAAAGTCCAGAGTGGGATAATTCTATCAGTTCCTGCCTGGAATCACTGAATTGTCCAATAACATGACTGAGGGCAAATATCAAAAGAGCAGGCATTATGCATGCTGGGCTCTAAGGACAATCTGTAGGACTCACCTGACCTTCAGAGATCTGACTTCCAAAATCCCCGAGGAAAGAGATGAACCACAAAGAGATTCACATAAAGATAGCAAACTCCTCATGCAATGTCACAGCTCTCCTTGCAACCGCCATTTATCAAAAGCAGAGATAGCAATCCTGTGGCTCTCTAAGTGATATTGAACGGCACTTCCAATCAGCCTCTGACAACAAGCCCAGATGTCAACAGGATTGGCAACTGGAACCCAAGAACATCTGGGTGGTACAGTAATGGATGACCCACTCCTTCTCCAAAGGTAAGAACCGGCATAACTTAAATACAGTACTTAATATTCAGATAATTTAGATGCAGATCTTCTAAGAACTGGATCTTGGATCTTAGAATTTCTTGGATCGAAGAACTGACTGTAGGAAATCCTTGATACATATGGTTAGTGAGAGAGTAAATACATCTGGCACAAAGAGAAAATGCGGTGGCCTTAACAGGATTGGAGGTTTTCATTGACTTGATGAAAGTAAACATTGTGTCCTCGTTGAAACGAAAGATACACAAAGTTATCCTGTTAACTATTTCTTCTTCAGTATGAAATACACGACAGGTCAGTTGGGCTGCAAATACAGCAGATGTAGGAGCTTATAAATTTTGGGCCTGCTTTGCATGGGGGGAAGCTGTTATTCTTGCAATAGATTCATCAGTGTTCAACCAGGGGGAGATAATGTGTTTTTCTCTTTTGTTTTGTTTGTTTTTAAATTCACATTTTTAAATGTTCTTGCCTAGTTTCGTTTTATCTCTGTTAAACTTTTTCCTTTGGATTTTGTATTTTAATCTTCTGAATAAAATAAAAAATTGAGATTAAAAAAAACAAAAGGAGCAGATGTTGCTCCTTTCTTCATCTGAATAACAGAGTTGGAAGGGACCTTGGAGGTCTTCTAGTCCACCCCCCTGCTCAAGCAGAAGACCCTATACCATGCCAGACAAATGGCTGTTCAGCCTCCTCTTAAAAGCCTCCAGTGTCGGAACACCCATAACTTCTGAAGGCAAAGCTGTTCCACTGACCCATTGTTCTGACTGTCAGGAAATGTCTCCTTAGTTCTAGGTTGCTTCTCTCCTTGATGAGTTTCCATCCATTGCTTCGTTGTCCTGCCCTCAGGTGCTTTGGAGAAGAGCTTGACCCCTTCTTCTTTGTGGCAGTGTCTTAAATATTGGAACCCTGTTAACATGTCACCCCCTAATCCTTCTTTTCACTAGACTGGACAAGCCCAATTCCAGCAACCGTTCTTTATATGTTTTAGCCTCCAGCCCCCTAATCATCTTTTCTGCACTCTTTCCAGAGGGTCTACATCTTTTTTATAATATGGGGACCAACACCGGATACAGTATTTTAAGTGTGATCTTATTAAAGCTTTATAAATCAGTACTAACACTTCATGTGATCTTGATTCTATCCCTGTGTTAATGCAACCTAGGATTACGTTCGCTTTTTTGGGCTGCTGCAGCACACTGCTGGCTCATATTTAAGCGATTGTCCGCCACATCTCAGAGTTATGGCTATTGAGCCAGGTTTCATAATGAAAAGGACTAGGGGTGACATGATAGAGTTAGATAGTGTTCCAATATCTCAGGGGCTGCCACAAAGAAGAGGGAGTCAAGCTATTCCCCAAAGCATCTGAGGGCAGGACAAGAAGCAATGGGGGAAAACTAATCTAGGAGAGAAGCAATTTGGAACTAAGGAGGAATTTCCTGACAGTTAGAACAATTAATCAGTGGAACAATTTGCCTCCAGAAGTTGTGGATTATCCAACACTGGAAGTTTTTAAGAAGAGATTGGATAACCATTTGTCTGAATGGTGAAGAGTTTCCTGCCTAAGTGGACAATCATGTCTGAAATAGTTACAGGTTTCCTGCTGAGCAGGGGGTTGGCCTATTCTTATAGTCTTATTCTAATCTAGTCTGATTCTATTTTATCCTATACTGATTCTATTCTAGTCTGATTCTATTCTTATTCTTATTCTTAGGCTTAGGCTTAAGCTTAGGCTTAGCCTTATTCTGTTCTGTTCTGTTCTATTCTATTCTATTCTATTCTATTCTATTCTATTCTATTCTATT